CACAAGTTAGCAACACGCTCACCGCCTCTCGCATGTTTCTTGCTCGTTCCTCGTTTCCCTATAGTGACTGAAAATACCGTACAGAATAAGTAATGCAACAAACGCCGCAACGCTCCGGAAGCCGGCGGCAAAATATACTTTAACAACCTATTATCAGTCACCCGACGGTCTACAACTCGTTACACGGCAGAGACCAACAGCTTGGGCGTCATTACAACGGCCTATCGCTCAGGTAAAGAGGAATAAAACACTCGTAAATCACGAAAGTATGAACTATAAAACATCCTCTGATATAATTATAATTATTCCGGCAGCCAGCGGAAGTCGACAGCTCCCAGGCTCCCTCAGGCACTTACCGTCTTCACCTCGCTCACATTTTTCGTTAGTTTTTCACATGTGGATAATTCATCTTCATACTTCCTACTCCATTAACATTAATTGATATATTTAATTTACAATTTTTCAGCTGATGAGAAATTAGGTTGCAATTGAAGCTCACACCAGAGCGTTCTGCCCCCAGGCAAAATACGACTGATACGATCTTCTTCGCCGCTAGTCGGCCGGCCCATTCTAGAATCTGAACGCCTTAGCATGCATTCTCATAACTACAATGCTTCCCATGAACCCACGTCCGTTTGAGGAATTCGAAATTCAAATTGATTTTCAGGTGAAGAAATACACATGTCAGCTGTATAGTACCTTCGATGAACTGGGAAATTGGAAGTGCGTGTTGCAGGCTGGGGGCAATCTTAAGTTCATGACATGGCAGGCAGATGCCAGCCGAGACCAAATACGTGACAGCTGCTCACAATCAAAAACAAACGGTGCTGAAACTCTCGTGAAATTCTAAACTTATAGAAACTAGATTTTTGGACGTGCAGAAGACTTTTTGAATTTCAAGATGGAGGAGCGGTGGAGTAACGGTCAGTAGTGCATGGCTCCGACTTAAACAAACGAATAATTTATTGATGGTGAGATCAGAGCACCAGAGTCAGTGCTGCTACGGCACTCTCATAAACAATGATAAAATATGAAATATTTTACTGTTTACTGGAGTGAATATTCGAGTTTGGAAGCTGAGGAAGTTATAACCGTAGGCGGTTATAACGTGAAGGGCGAGTTGAGCAGAAGGCTATTAGCTGGCAGCTCCCTATACATACTACCTACAAGTCACAAAAGCTAGCGATCTATGGCTCAAGCCGAGTTAAATTCGATAAAGGTTACGAAAAAAACGCTCGAGAATTGATCCATGCTGGAAACCGAGTAAGAAGATGAAACAACTCATCCGAGAGTTGGATGCGACAAAGCTTGCGAGAGATGCGCGGTCTTGATGTGCCTCTGCAGGTTCTGCTGGAAGGCGCTCGAGTAACTGCACAGGCTGCACCGGTACGGCTTCTCCCCCGTGTGGGTACGCAGATGCATCGAGAGATTCCCCTTGACGGTGGCGCGGTACGGGCAGTGAGGGCACGGATATTTCCGGTCACTGTAGGGCACGGAGCTGCTAGGTCCACTCACTCCCGGGGTCGTCCATCTCCCAGACGGAACGATGCTCCCAAACGCATCGTCGCTCGTGCGGTCAAAACTGGACAAGGATTCTCCCGAGTCCCATTCGAAGGCGGCCCCCGACTCCATCCACGTACTTGTGTTCGGCATCCCTGACTCGTACGCGAACTGCGCATCATGTCCGTCATAATCATCGCGGGTGAGATCAAACTCAGGTGTATTCAGGGACGTGTTTAGTTCGCTTGAAGAGTTAGAAGCGCGTTGGGTTAGCAGGGACCTGGACAGGCCGCGCAGCAGACCAAGAGGAGAGGGGCGAGTGCAGCGATTGCCCCGACCGCGCGTCGCGTGTGACAGAGTCGCTGGCCACACCTGCACCAAGAGGCACACAGTCAAAACCCCAAAGCAGCAGCTTCTTGCAACCTCCAGTCGCATCAACACATTACCACACTAATTTCCTCTCTTCGCTGGGCCAGAATGTACAGTTTAGCGGACATTTCCCGCTCTTTGTAATGCAAAGCTCTCTACCCACGTAGGTACTCGGGTTATTAGCCTTTCCCTGGCTGTCACAACACCGCGGAAATAATATTTTACAGCAATTTCATAATAAAGACATCAGTCGAAGACTAAAATTCACAGTTCCATTTGAATTCAAGTCCAAAATGTGGCTTCATCGAGCTTGTTTCCTCTCACGTTGGTGCCAGGAGAAATGAAGTGAAGGGCAGGACAATGCGATGGAAAGATAACCTCTGTTTTACCTGCACCCATTGATCCATACACAGAAATGAGTGCGTAAACAACAATCACTTGGTCGATTCGAGTTAAAGTGTATTGCGCGAGACTAAATTCATGAAAAAACTGGTAACATTCCTTTGTTTCGTTACAATTCCTTGCACAAATATCTAAACAGACACCATACCTGGAATAAATCTATATGCTACGCATTATTCACAAATTGAACAAATTTACAACAACCATTTTCTAAATTCTAAAATTGGCCAGCGCTTTGGTGGCGTGGTTCGTCCAAGTTCCTTCCAAGGACGACATTCCTGCCAAGAATCTTAGTGCCCAGAACAAGCAGGCGTCGCCCCCATAAAACTCCTCGCTTGAGCTCAGTCATAAGACGCGCACACTCTACACTAAACCAGCGCTGGTCGGACGTACGAAGACGTGTAGCCCCGCTGCGGATTACGGAGTGCAAGCAACACTGGAGCACTAAACCAATGAATAGCTCATTGTTTCATATCGCCATAATTTACGAGTGCAGAGATAATATTAATATAATAATGAGAAAAATCATAAGACATGCAAGTAAGAACTCCTAGTTCGATTAACTTAGAAGCAGGGAATGCAGATTAGATGGACGCGATGGACTTGTCGCATTGATTCTTGTTTGAGGACAGATTTGCTTCGTGCAAACTTCCAATGAAGTGACAACCACACGAAACAATTTATTTATTTGCTGCGATTCAAATTTGATGTAAACATGTTTGAAGCCTCATAAACTCAATAATTTACTTAAATACAGATCTCTGTACATACATCAACGAATCAACGTACTTCGTAGAAACACTTTTGCTCGTGAATGAGAAACGTGCATTTTTAAGTCGACTCGAATGAATTCTGCAGAGGAGTGACCAATTATTGAAGCCTCACCACGGGGACAACGACACGTGTCACATTTACAACTCAAGTTTATTATATTGCGACTTATATTTGTTAATAACGGACGTGACGATCTAACGAGCAATGTTAGGAACAGATCAGCGAGTGATTCCTGATTCACAACGGCGGTGGCCTGCAGCGGTAGTTGCAGACACAAACGATAACTCAAACTACAGACAGAAGTAACTAATATCTCTGTAGTGTGTTCGACTCCTAACGATAACACAAACTACAGATAGGCACTACTGCCATCTCTCCCCAGATGATGTGCCCCACCTCTTCGACTGCCCTAACAACCCAACTCCTCTCGGCACCATAGACCTTTGGAGGGACCCAGCTGCGGTCGTGCGATGGCTCTAGCCACGGCTGGACCAATGACGCTGGGATCGGGCGCGGGGCAACAACAACAGCAGCATACGTCTTTCGTGATGCAACTACATACATCCACTTCGATACAAAAATGAGAAGAGCCTATTGTTAACTGAGCAGGTTTGTATAAAAACACAATATTTGCACGAGTACACCACTAGAAACACAATCTCTGCACGAGTACACTACTAAAAACACATCTTTGCACTAGTACACAACTAAAAACACAATCTTAACACGAGTACACCAATAAAAATTACTCGTTAGACAAACACGGTTACAATATTAAAAACTGGCTCCAATTGAACTGCAATCACAATTACAAACAAACTGGTACTAATTGAACTACAAGCACAACTCAGGTAAAACATCATGTCCAAACTGCCAATGAGTATCTGTGATACGATGAGCACTACGCAGCTCAGGCACCGCAGACCCCCTCCCCAATACTACTACATAATTGGGATATTTGTCACCCTAGAGCTCAAGTATAGAAAATTTCATACCAATAACTCTAACAAATAAACTAATACTACCCGACGGTCAATTGAAAATTATTTGTGTTGGACAACTACAGGCGGGTCTAAGTAATACCGGTACACAAGATAATTTACAAAATAAAGATTAATTACCTGGGCGGAAATGACAATTGCACAATGACATATTAAGACATCATTGTAAACAATTTGCTGATATACTGATCTTTAAAAAAATACCCAATTGATTTTTCTGTCAAACTGACACCGAATATATTTGCATGATAGAATCCTACAGGAACGAATAAAAATATAAAATAGATCCAAATATTGAAGCACATATGGCTGACCATAACACTGAGAATCAGGTTCGATTATACAGTCTTTTGTTATATTTTTATTTATATTAAACACCAAAACTCAAATAGCAGAAGCCATGAACACAAATAATAAGAGTACAGGAATTACTACTATATTACATAAATTGCAGGAAGACTCAGCTACACTGAAACACCAGGCAGTCGTGAGAAAATAATTGCATAACCAAATTTTTTGCCTCGTGGGTGGAGTATTTAAATTGTTTGCCTTGAACATTCACCCTCAATTGGACTACAGTACTTCTTATTGCATTACTTCATTACATTTGCTAGTATTGCATATTATATTTTCTTTGTTGTTCACAAAATATTTTAGCATTTTTACCTTACGAATCATCTTATAAATCAAACTTACATATAAATAAAAATGACTAAATCCCAAGCCACGTCCACTCCGGAACTGCAAAGTTAAATGATGAATGATGTACAATCTGTGATGATGGAAGCAGCTTTAGAACTCCTTATATTTATATATTTTATAAGGCTGTGATGATGGAAGCAGCTTTAGAACTCCTTATATTTATATATATTTTGATGGATGGAGTATGTGATGATGGAAGCAAAGGCTTGTCGTGGACGTGGCTCAGGACATCATAGGACACGAGGCACTCACCCCAGGTGTAGGTGTGTCTGCGGCAGCGTTGCTGGCGTCGTCGCCACTAAGCATGCTCGTGAGCGCCTCCCCCTCCTGCCCTTCATCCTACACAGCAATGTCTTCTTAGCTTGCATTTTGACCAGGCATGATATTGTCTATACAACTTATTACTTATAGTGACTCGTTCGGTACTCATTTCAGAATGTTAAGAAAATAGCATTCTGCAATGTTAATTTCACACTCAAAATTATCAATATCGTTGAGATGTTTTGATTTAATATAATTGCATGGGAATCCAGTAGAAGCATCATATTCATTGGAACATTTTTCTATACAAAAATTTCACAAGCAGACAAATTCTATAATAATTTATAAATCTCCAATTCACATAACATAAAGAAGCTCAATCTTATTATCTCAATCTGCAATGATGCTTCAAACCATAAACCACAATGGTTACTATGAGCATGCAGGTATAATGACATCATAAATCCTGTAAGATGAAATGACATGCTTAAAATACTTACATCTTTGTTGAGCAGTGAGCTCTCCCAATCATCGGGAGCTTCTTCAATATCTCCAACCTCAACCTTTGAGTCAATTAAATCACTCGGGTCTTTGTGTGCAGCTCCTTGAGAGTCACCACTGGGTTCTCCTCCTGCAGGGTCAGGTAGGGCAGGCAAGGCATCCTCGGCAGACCCAGCACCACCTTCATCTTCCTTACAGTCACCATTATTTCTGTCCAAAAACTCGGTTGCACAAGCACCACTTCCTTCGTTTGCTTCAGACTGTGGTTCATCAGTTGGCTCATCTTTGATTGCCATAGGCCAAGCCTGCACAAAGAATGTTTGCAAAATCATGTAATCAAAATCTAAAATCATTCAGTTTCCAAACAATTTAAAAGTAATAAATTCCAAAATCATAAATGAGAAATTAAAATATTTTATTAAATAGAGCATGTCATGCAACTCACAGCAATTTCTTCATCTTCATTGCTGGGAGCAGAGGTTGGGGTTGGGAGAGGAGGTCTCTCATCCAGTGAAGACCTTGATGACAGTGGACTTGCAAGACTGCCTCTTCTTTCTCTACTGGGACTTTCTTGTGGATCAGAAGATTGAATAGGTTTTGACTGAGAATCATAAGCTAAATCATTTTTGGAAGCTACATTTGGTGAAGCTCTGATTATTTTCCTAGGAGGTGTATTAATGTTACTGAGGTTAGAAAAATCTTTTCTTTTGTTGCTGAAATTACTCGAGGATGTATTTTTGAGACTTCTGTTTGCAGACTGATGCTCATCATTTAAGTAGTTTCCAGAACTGTTTTGTTGGTTGCTAGAGTAGCTTGAGAGATGGTTGCTTTTGTTTCTGGTACCAAGCTGCAGTTGTTCAGGTTCCTCATCAGGAACAGCAAGTCCTTTGATTTTTAGACACTCAGCAGCATTGATCAGTTCTGCTAATTTTTCTTGGACTACATTTACCTCTCCAATGTACATATACTTAAGGAGAGCTTCAAAAACCTCTTTCTTGATGTCTTTGAGCACAATAACTGGATGTTTTCCATGAGTTTTTTCAAACATCTCTTCAAAATATTCACTGCATGTTGACAGGACCAACTTGTGTACTGGGTAAAGCTTGCCATCACAAGCAACTGTTGCATCATCATAGTTTTGCTGTATGACAAAAAAAACTGCATTAGCATATAGTTTAATTAATTACAAACAACTGTACTATAATTATATTCATTCTCAGTCTTCTACATTCATCATCCATGAAAGAATCACTAATATCTAAAATTCTCCCCAATATGTTTACATCCTTAGTCTTGAATGAAATATCACTATATGAATAAAATATTGCAGCTAAACACCATTAGTAACAAGCTTTTTATGCATTTGGAATTTTGCAGCCTAATTGTGCATCATAGTGCAGACTGGAATACTAGGAATGATGGTTAATATATTATTTTTGATCCACTTAGGCAACTTTTTCAGTTCAAAAATTTTAGTAAGATAGAAAGGATAAAAATTGGAGGGATTAAATTTGCACTTAAATGGATAAAGAATGAAGCTTGCAAAACTTCAAGATTTCAAGTAGACTAAATAAAAGTTCATTAGCAATTTGTCTCTAAGTCAAACACAAAAAATGAACCTTCATGAATTGATAACGATTAACACTACCGATAAGAGTTTAACATGATGATCACTGCAGAGGCTATTGGCTATTTGAGGGAGGTAAAATTACTGGCATTACTGGTAGATTTAATCACAAATATTGATTGTTAAAGATACTGAGTGAGAAGAGACGATTTTTGGGATCAAAATTCTGAAAGCATCACCACTTTTATATTTTAATACACCACATGGCTCATGCCTGAGCATTCTTTGATTAAAAAAAAACTTGCTATTTAAAAACGACAAACATTTTTTAAAAGACATGAGATGTTCAAAAACTCACAATGGAGATGAAATAAATCAGGAGCCCTGTTTTGTTTTCAGCATTATCTCAAGTGCCGTCAGTAAGACAATATTGACAAAATTGAGAATAAATATAAAAAAATCATATCTGGCAAGTATAAAATGGTGTTCAAATTTTTATACTACTTTCCATCATTAACTCTGCATGTGGATAAAATCAATGGATTTTGAAATTGAATTTGGCATTACAAAACAGGGAGTGGAACATCTCAACTTTTCACTTGTTCACTGCCATTACAGTGTGCCACCTGCCATTAAATGAATCAGATATTGTCTCATCATTTTTTGTGGTACTTAGACTCCCGGGGTAACTTGGACCACTTTTAATTTTCTTAACAAAAACCCCCAAATCTCAAAAACTATTTGACATAGAAAAATTTTGTCAATGGGCATCAAAGGCCTGCAACCGAGGCTACAGAACACAATAGAGAGAAAAAAATTATGCATATCTAATAGGTTAAAAAATGAAAAATGTGACTCATGAAAAAGAGCTATTAATTAAAGCTTGTCATAGAACTCGCTCAAATTTTTTTATTTTTTGGTAAAATAACTCCAGGTTTTGGTGCATTGTAGTAGAACTCTTCTAGTTACATATGCAAATGACAAATTTGAGGAAAGTATCATAGTTTGCAAATGGGGGGCTTCATTCTATCAAAAAATTCACATGAACAAAAAAAGTCTTAGATTTATTTTTTACATATATATACCAAGTTTCAAAGTTATCTGTCTGTAAATAACCAAAATTGAATTTCCAATTTCCAATGGCAATTTCCAATTTCTTGTGCAAATTTTATTTTGGTTATTTACAGACAGATCACTTTGAATCTTGGTACACACATGTAAAAAATAAACCTGAGACTTTTTTGTTCGTGTGAATTTTTTTTAAAAAATGAAAGAAAACTTGAAATTGGGTAAACGCGGTATATTCCAACATCATGGGTAATTCCGACACTTCTCGACTTTTTCCCTTTACATTAAGCTTTTTCTTAGTTCCATGCGTTTGTTGATGGTTGAAATAGTGACGTCATTCTTTTGCGCGCTATACTATTGCCAAAACACTAAGTCTGGGCCGTCTGGTGGGAAAATGTTGAGATCCAAAGAGAGACAGTGCGCGTCACCCAGCGAGAACATCAAAAAATGTGTCAAAGTTGATAGTTGACCTTGCTCTACTAAATAGTGATAAACTGTTTGTGTAGGAAGAATATTATGGTTTGAGACTTTTAAATAAGTCTGTGAATATATTAGGAATCCTTTAAGTATACTTGTATTTGCTGATTTCAAGTCGTAAATAAATTAATAGATGATTTAAGTTAAGAGACGGTTATAGACACATAAAAACTAATACCGACACAGCTTGGAATTAGACACACACAGCTCGTTCCAAGCTGTGTGCAAAAATTTTTAGAGCCATTCATTTTTTGCTAAGTCCTTAACGTGTCAGTGTAGTGAACCTAGAAATTACGACTTTTAATAAATATATCCTTTTTCCTCTGACTTGGCAACAGGGTTGGCAATGATTAAATCAAAATGATTAAATCATGTGATTAAATCACTTGATTTTTTTATAAAAAAATCATGATTTTTTTTATTTTTTCGATTTTTTTTTTTATTTTGATTTTTTCATATATTTGAAAATATTGAGTGGCATTCTTTAATTTGTATTGAGGTATTGTTATTCATGGTGTAGTATAAATTACTATGAATGACAAATTGGTATATAAACTTGTTGCATTTAGTGTGTATTAGGTTCCAATAAATGGAATGTTTTTGGTACAGAGGCATCAAGAGTGCAATACATTGTAAGTAGCTAGCAGCTTAGCTAATTCTTATAAGGCTATAAGTAGTCTAACTATTTGACTATTTGTTATATATTGATTACAATATACAATTTAAATGTGTTAGCTAGCTTATACAGGGTGGGGCAGAAC